TAAATCTGGGTCCACTGTGTTAATCACCCCCCATTCTTCTTTCTGGCACTTACCCTCCAGGCATTTTGCCTCTTTAGGAGATTAAGCGACCAAGTCATCTTGTTGCTCTAACATGTCCTCGCTGGAGCAACATATTAACACAATTCCTCTGCAAAAGAGCCCTCTTTAGAAGTTTGCTGCAGGGATGACAAATTAACCCAGCATGGTGTCCCACACATCTATCTCGGTACAAATTATTAGTGTAATAGAGCTTTTAGTTATGCATTTATCTAGTAATTATTGAACGGTTATACAAAACGAAGCTGAGCAATCATGGCCCTTTATGAGGCAATCTCAGTGGGTGGCCTTACAGTTAATTTAGGATAGGACTGTCTAAGCAGTTCACTCACACACAAATTAGCTGAACAGCCTGCTCCTTTAAATATTTCCTATGTCACAGGCTAACTCTTTACAATACAACAAAGGTAGAGTTTTAATTACACGGTTCCTGACTTTTGTTTAGCTGAAGCTTTAACCGTTTGCAAGCCTTCCTCTCTGCCCTCCCCTGCCTGGGATACGGGTGTAGATGGCAGTTTGGGTAGGGTATCTAGTAATTACTAAACCCTGACCTTGAGGCCATCTGTTAGGAAACCGTTCTTCCTTCAGCATCATATTATTTCAGAGTGAGTGGAGAAAATCAAATCTTCACCTACACAGTCAGCTATCCTGACATTGTAAACGGGAGCGTTGCTTTTCGCTGTCGCAAAAGCAACGCTCATCTGTTGGTCAGTGTTACGCTATTTATGGTTTCTACTCAACTTTCTTACCCTTGTGGTGCAGCTCTCATCTTTTGGCTGTCTTACATTACCATCCCCTGATCCGAGGTGTCTGTATCAGAATGAACTTGCATCGCTTTGCTTTTGTCAAAATTCAAAGGAAAGTAGAAGGTTACATTAGTCTGCCAGCTGACAGCATCGAGGAGCAGCCATGGATAGTTGTACGGAATAGGATATTACAAAATGTCCCTGTGTAGCTCAGGAGCGAGTTAGCAGGAATTATCACTTTGATTCGCTTGAAGCTGGATGACAGGACAGCTAACAGGCACTGATATTTCAGTGACCCTGTGGAGAATTTTGATAGAGAAGGGCACAACGTCTTCCCAGATATGTGACATAAATTTTTTGCCACTTTGGCACAAACAGACAGTACTATCCTGCAGAGTTTCCCTGGTAGGCCTTGTCCTGATAAAAATCAGGACATAAAAATGGCAATGCTTATTACGGAGGAAATTAATATAATGGGAACCACTCCACTTGTTGACTTTCATCCCTTCTTCTCTTTCTGCTCACACACCCACTTCCTTGGGTTCTTCCCTTTGTGCTGTATTTCTTGTTTCTTGTAATTGTGTTTCTCCTTCATTTATCTTCCTAACATACCATTTCATTCTTATTTTTTTTTCTTTCCTTGCCTTTTCTTCATTGCTTTTTGGCTTGCAGGATCTATGCTGTCTTATTCTGTGGAAATGCTTGAATGCTCTACAGCACAGGCTGCTGTATATCCTAGGTTTACAAGATCGTGGTCAATTTAACATTTCAGCCAGCTCCAGATATAAAGTCACTAGAGTGTAAGTAGCAATACATGGAAGCCTAAAACCACTTATGTAAATATTGCTGTCACCCATAGCATTTAAATCCTTCACTGTCTGGTAAAGAGTTCAAGTGGGCTAACGTCTGGGAAACTTTGTAAGATGCCAGCAGTACATGATGGCTTTGCAATACTGGAGTACTGGGGTGAGCTACGCTGACCACCAAATAATCTAACTTGCAGGTAACAAAAGTATGCTGCGTAGGAGATAGAGATCTAACTGCTTGAATTTTCAATGCGTTGAAATAAATTACAAAACTGATAGTGATGCTAAAGCCACCCTATAGGTGATCAATTTACCATCTGCCAGACACTGAATCCTAACCACACTGGTCCAGAGAAGACATATGGTGCATTCATAGAGTCATGCCCAAAAAACTGCCATCATCAAGTGAGACTCCATGAATCACTTTGCTAGCTTATCACCAAAGAAACTTGGATCTTACCACCATCTGTTGGAACTACTGAGGAGTCACTGAAGCATTGGCATCCATGCGCCAGCACTCACTGCACATCTGGTCCTTTGGTCAGCCAGCTCAGATCCTCTCTGCTGGCTACTGCCCAGCTGGGTTGAGTACTGGCAGCAGCACCAACGCAGATAGGAAACTAGCGCACAGCCTTCCACAACACAGTACAGTACAGACAACTTCATGAAAACAGAGGTTTTCCAACTGGTTCGTTGAATGGAGCACCTTATAGCTAAGAAATCCTCTTAAGGATTTACTCCTCCAAGCAAGTTTTGTTTCCAAAATGACTCATTGTGGGCATCACTGGGAAGGGCACTCAGTATCCTGGGATACCCCAGCATAAGACGTGTGCTGTGTTCTAAGGAATGTTTGGAAGCGTGTGAAAGATGCGGGAATATTCCTGAGAAGTTATAAATCACTGGTTGTCAATGACAACACCTGCCATGAATAGTCTACAGCTTCTTCTTTGCTGTCTATTTTGATCATGCTTTACAAATGCATCTCATATACACATCCAAGTGATAAACTTGCACATATGAACATCAGAAGGAGATTGAACCTTCTTGTAATCGTTCAGTTGGCTGAGGAGCTTACTCTGATGGTGACCTACTTACTCATGACTTTCCTTTCTCTGAAATATCTGCAGACTGAAGATTAAATCCTGCACTTACTTTTCTGAAGACCACCCGGAATGACCTGCCACTGACCATTTACATAATGCATATGTATCCAAAGAGAATGCAACATGTGTGTACTATATTATACTTATCATTTCTGCAGAAAGATATAACTTCCAGTAACTAATGGTGGATACAAATTGCTCAAAGATTATATCCTCTTAGATGACTGCATTGTACTCTTTATGTTGCCACTTTTGAAACCTGAAAAGCTTCTCTCTTCTGCTTACTGTCCTAAAGTACACTGGAGGGAATGGGAAAAAGAACAAAGCTAGATTTGCAGAAAATAATCCATCTCAGTATATATTACCCTTTACTAACAGCACGATTGTTGCAGAAGAGAAACAAACAGAGCCAGTGTGCTGTGGAAGAAGAATACTGAAGAGGAATGTCCAAAAAGAACAAAGAACAAAGTCTGGAATAAGATTTTTCCAGGATGATGACACTTAAAGAATCCACGGATGGATTCAGAGGGATTTTTCCTGAAAGTCTGTAAGACTTTGTTTGTGAACAAGCATAAAATAGAAGATGCTTCTAAATGATGTTGCAGAAGAAGAGTTTTTGCTTAACCTGTTAGGAACCACGATGATAAGAAACTGTGTTACTTCTTTATGGAGTTAGTAAAGACATCTCCTTCCAAACAAACAAAATTTGGGAACTGTAATCACTGTATTTGCTCTTTCAAATTCTGGCTGTCTTTGAATGTTCTTCTCACCTAGCCAATGGATATCCCCTGGTACACAGAAAAAGTCTTGTTAAAACAGACTGTAGATGAGATTTAAACAAGACCTCACCAGTGATACATTTCCTCTCTCAACCACACAAAAATCCAAAATACAGAAGGGTCTAAACAGGGGCAGACAAAGGCATTCAATGATCTTAAAAAATGAGTGTGAGGTAAAACATAGCTAAATAAAGAAAGGCCTAGTAACTAATCAATCAACAACTCAAATCTAAAAGGCTGAACTTCTAAAAGATAAGAATTCAGAGTCAGCTGATGTGCACTGAATATAATGTTAATGGAACATTCATATTATTCATACTTATATCACCAATTATCAAGGCTTTTAAAAGAAGATATATTTGCCAGATAGCTCAGATAAAAATTTCAAGGGAAATCTGTATAGAACTTAGATGCCTAAATATCTTCTGAGCATCCAGGTGTGTGTCTAAGGATAATAAATAATTTTTATGGGATTAACCACAACAAATCAAACTACAGTAAGTAGATTTAACAAAACACAAAACCCCATGAAGTGCAATTCTGACCTGGCTTCAGCTTAGTGCAGTTCCACTACTTCACACTGCTTCACCTGGACTGTGCAGACGAAGAGGCTCGTCCTGGTTTATGCTGCCCTCAGTAAAACCACACTAATGCCAAACAGACATTTCAAAATAATTGCAAGTATGAATTGCTAATATGTCTTTTTATGCTTCACCATTCGACCAATTCCTTAATAATCTTCTCTAAATGAGATGAAATTTCATAGCAGAAAGAAACATGTCACAACCATTCATTCCTATTTTTATATCTTCCAAAGAGGTTTGTAAGAAGATTCATTCATTTGTGTATGTTACTATGCCCAAGTGAGTTCCTTTTCAAATGTGAACTGAGTATTGCATTTAGTTTTCTAGGCTAAATGAAAATGCATCTTTCTAACAAAAAATGTATAAGCACATCTAGGCCCAGAGGACGTCTCTTTTACTTGGAAAATCAGTTGGAAGAGTACTGTGAAGAAAACCAGCCAAAGCTTTGCAGGAACCAATTTCAAAGGAGTCCCCTAACAAGGCAGTTCTTCAGCAACACGAGCACTAAATGACTGGCAGAAACAAAGCCATAGTGCTGGAAGACAGGCGTGGTTCAGAAGTGAGTGATGGGTCCCTATCTTGAGCACTTAGACTGAATCTATGTTATGAATGGACAGCAGAAGACACTCTCTGTAACACATTCTGTCCCTTTCCCCACCCTCTTCAAACAAAACCCCAGGCCCCCAGAAACCAGTGTTTCCACCTTAGGCACTGTTGAATGGTCATCAGGAGTTTTACCAAACAGCCCAGCCTAGCAAAACAGGTCTTGACAACTAAAACCTCCGAGTTATCAAGCTTCTGAAGCACAGCCTCTTACTGAGTGGGTCACATGTGGCGATGACTTTCCATGGAAAGGCGCTAGGACGGACAGCGGGTGCCGTGGCTAACATTTAAGCTGCCTGGGGGCTCTTGGGTTAGGCCTCACCTCTGGGTCCTGTAATGACAGGTCGATGGTGCTGTGTGAAAGCCGTTCCAAGGGAGGAGGTCTGCGAAGGCGAGGGACTGCTGAAACCAGACTTCTCTGACTTCTTTAATGTAGTTGGCGAAGGCAATCCTGGCAAGAATGATTGATAAGTGCAATTTAATAATGCTAGGTCATGGAACGACAGCCTATGCATTGTGAAAGTGGGGGCAGAAGCAGATAGATAAACTTAAAGGACAAATGAAACCGAATACAACAGCAAGCTGAAAGCTCACTTTTGTTTGTGGTCTTTTTTGAGGCAGAAGTGGCCATGGTTTTCTCTGAGCAATGAGTACTAAAAGGCAGCCATATTTTTCTTTTAAATCTGAAATATGGATAAGATGCAGCTTATTATTGCTACTGAAACCTACTCCGCTTTATTTTTAGAAATCTGTAATAGCTGGAGCATTTGGATTTTTACAGGCTTTTTATGAGTTCTGTCTTTCACTCACTGTTTTAGTAGATTATTGCAAATGGATCTTTTAAATGTGCTGCACGACTCAAGGCACAACTAGAGAATAAAGTTTTCTGAGTTCAAACTCTGCCTTTCCTTACTCTCTTGACTTCAAAGGTATTTGAAAGTAATATATTTATGTGGTTCCCTTTTGCTTTCAAATTTTTTTAAAGGGTGAATGGTATTTGTGTCTTGATATTAGAAGCCACACTGGAATTATTTCAGAGTTGTTATTATGCCCTTGAACTATATCAAAGGCTTCCAATGAAAATCAGAGTTAAGTTCCATTGGGTGAAACCTTTCCCGTGGACAGGCAGAAATAGTGTAATGCTAATATGACCTGTTTGTTATACTCTGTAAGAATAACTCCTGTTGATATCATATCAAGCCTGTGGCACCAAAGAAATTAGTGGAATGAATATATTGCAATAGGCTCTTAAAATCTGAGCCTTTTCTGCATATCATTTATGCTTGGATAAAAGAATATTACAGCATATAGATGAAGAATATGTGTGTGTGTCTGTATTATTCTCTATATTTTTATAGTTCTAGAGGCATATGGGTATTCTGATTATCTGCACATACTCTGAAAACACATAATTTCCAGTATATACAGTACATCAGACATTTTGCATATCTGTAGGGATATAGCAAAACAAAGGTGCGGAACAGTTGAGGTTTCAGGTGCAAAAGCAAAATATCAGGTAATGTGGAAGTTGAACTTCCACTAGCAAGTCATTCAACCTTATTTCCAACTCTGTATTTTATAGAATTTAATTGTTAAAAAGTAAAGAGAGAGGCCTGGACAATATTATCTCTGGACAATATTATTAACTTTATATTTAATAACACTAGTTTTATAGTCCCTGGGATGTTGATTGCAATATGCAGGAGCCTTCTTGTACTTTATACGCTGCACTGTTGGGGTCTTAATGGTTTCAGTGAGGTTTTGCAGTTTATATTTCAGAAAGTTAAATAAAGTAAGGGAGTGGTTAGCGTTCCCGTGTTGTACTTGCAGCTTTCTGTCTTGAAACTGTTTGCTACAAGGGTTTGCTGTTGTAGTGGTTTTTCCTCATAGGAAGAAAGGTTACATACTTAATCTTTTAAAAATAAAAGTTTAGAACTGACAGATTATTGTGCAAGAAAATTAGTGTTGGGGTTTTTTTTTCATATTGGTCTTAAGGACTTTGAAGTAGGGACAAAAGCAAAGACAGTTAGTTCGGTTTGGGGGTAAGAGAGAAAAGGAGACTGAACTAAGGTATTTCAATGAAATGCTGAATTTCTGCTCAAATGGCATGTTGGGATGTAACTTAGTTATTGCTCTGTGTTTGAGTGACAATATTCAGGACAAGGATACTCAAAAGAAGTAACGGTGCTGTTGACCCATATTTCCTTATGATAGAAGAACTGGGGATGGAAACACCAAATGAGTGTCAACCGCAGCCCTTAACACGAAGTCAAGGGTCAGTGGCAATATTGGTGCTCAGGGGGTAGAAGAACTACGCTGCTGGCAACAAGGCCATGGGTACATCTCTTCTGTGCTGGTCTGTGGAAGGGGCTAGGTTTGCCCCCAGGGCAGGTTTTAATGTAGCAGGCTCCATCCCTCTATGTGCAAAATATCACAGACAGAACAAGCGACTATTTATGCACAGGGATTATCACGCCTGCTTGTGAGCTGCTCTCACTGCAAGGTCGTGCAGCACTCTTGCGTGGAGGCACAAGGCCCCGCACGCAGCTGACGGCTGCGCAGCCCATGAGCCCAGGAGGGGACAGGAGTACCTGTGCCCTGGGCAAGCAACGGAGGTCATGGAAGGAGTAAGATCTCTAAGTCTATGCACCATATGGTTCAGCTGCCTCATGAACTCCCTGCTTTCCCCCATATCCTCTAGCTGGATACCCTCTTCAGGGTTATGGGAAAGATAATAAAGCTTCTGAGAAAGTGAAGAAGCTATTCTTTTACCCCTGTGCTAAAAAACCTGCTTGACTCACGTAAACCGTGGTAGGGGGCAGGGGCAGAGAAAGGAGTGGAATATGGTTTAAAGCTGTAGCAAGTTCATGTGATTGTGTCCAAACACTGGAACTTGAGGAGCTACAACAAAGCTGATGAATGACCTTGCACTGTGGCAATGCTGAGCAGTGTCATGTTCATATGGAGATGGATTTTATAAGGTCGAGGAAGCTGTTTTCATGTGAAAATAGAGATTTTAATGTAACACTATGTTGTAAAATTGAGTAGAAAGACAAACTGAAGTACTGATAATTGGTTCCTACTTTTGTTATATTTGTTTGTTATCATCATTCTGATTGCCACTATTATCACTACTTTGGGGTTTTTTTATTTATTTCTGGGTATTCTGAAATGTATTGGTTTGGAACAGTCCAACTCTACCATGTTTTTATTTTGTTTGAGGTTTGTAATGACACATTTTATTTTGAGTGATCATATCCATCAGATCTCAAGAAAAAAATGGCTGCTTCCTAGTTCAGAAGAATATGCAAACAGGAGCTTAATTACATCACTTAATATTGACCAAGAGAAAGAATAACATGAGCTTGCCAGCTCATTTCCAAAGCATGTTTTGTCCTTTAAGAGGGGAGGGTATGACAGAAAGTTAGGCAGTGCAAAGCAATTAGCATCATTCACATTTTATGTTGCGCTAGCATGGTGCTCTAGCAGCAAAATTCAAACATTCTTTGAATGGGTTAATAAAAGAAGAAATACAGTCGGCATGCAAGAAAAAGGTTTCCAAGAACAAGCCAAAATATGTCCCATTCTTCTAAATTTATCACAGCCATGTCACATTATCCTTGAGACTGCCAGGAATGTCAATTTTTTTGCAATTTTAAAAAAAAATCTCATTTAGCACCATATGTTTGGTTAATGTGCCTGATATATCCTGCGTATTCTTTAGTCCATCCATTTCTAATACTCATTTTCTTTTTTTTCCCCCTTGCTAAGCCATATGTTACAATGCTGGTCATTCTATCGAAGCTACTTTCAGGAGCTGAGAGCGAGAGCAAGGGAACTCAGGTTTAATCACCCAGAAAAATTTAAATCTGATTCTACAAGTCTCACTTTTAGGTAAGCAGTCTCAGCACTTGAGTGTATATTCATAGCCCGGTGCCCATGAAAATCAGGCCACCTATGAGATAGCATGGTGTATATTAACAACTGTGAGGCAGGAACTAAGATAAATGACTAAATATGGAATTAGGTGTTTAATTTTTGGCACCCATGTTTGAGACTCTTGGCTAGTTTTAAAGGTCTTCTGTTTCATAACTAATGAGTTTTAACACATTTAGTGGTCCCCAGTCCGCAGCCTCCCCTCCTGTGTTGCTCAGGGATGCAGGAAATTAAAAAGTTAAAACTGAAGCTACCCTGGGCAGAGCCCAGGGAGGATGCTGCTGCCTTGCATGGCTTTCCTCAGCATTGTTCCTAAGAGCTAATGAATATTGGGGACCACTGCACTGAAGACCAGATTTCAGCACTTCACATGACCCCAAGGAAGGGGTAGTGCCAGCTCATAAGGACACCTCTGAGTCCCGACTCTCCTGTTTCCTCTCTGGTGCAGGGCAGCAACAAATTACAATATCCCCCAACCCATCTCAGCTGTGCTGGCCGGTGAATAGAGAATGGAGCCAAGGATCCTCCCCATTCCCTGCCTCCTTCTATCCATCTGCTCTGAGCAAGGAATAAACAAGAACAGCCAGAACACAACGGCTGGGTAACCCAGGTGGGGTTTAAAAGTGCTTCTTACTATTCTGTGTATAGGACTGTTGTCCAAATCACAGTCACACCTGGCATTTTTAGGAAACACAGATTTCATAATTCAGGTCTGAGTTTCCTCTGAATGGTATTTAGAGTGCAAGAAAAGAAAATCAGACTTAAGCCTATTTTCATCTTATGGCAGCTTTTAACTACAGAATAAATGGAAAAGTTAATTGCTAAATAAAACAGAAAATAAAGGGATTTGTGGCATAAAACACAGATGGAATCCTGAGTGGGTGTGTTACTTTAACTTACTGTACTTGTGTTCACGTGATTGTATAAGTATATGTATGCCAAACATATATGGTCTTAGCCTGCTCCCATTAGCATGAATCCGTTTTTTTCACTGGACAGAGGGAAGCAGATCAAAGACCATGATGGTGCTAAATGGAACAAGATGTGTACTTTCGTATTTTTTTCCAAAAGGAAATATTAATTTGACATTGGTTTTTCAGTTGAAAAGAATTTTAATTGCAGTACACAATAAGCAGAAAATTCAGACAACAATAATCTTGAAACTGTTAGCAGCATTATATTTCTATCAAGGAATTTGTGTGCCTTTTCAACATTAGAGCTTTCTGAATTTTCATTAATTTGGCACTTCCCTAAACACACAAGTTATTTTGTTCATTCCACATCATGCATCACACCCTTCTGCTCAATGCATAATGCAAGCGTAAATGGGATCCTTGTCCTTGAGAGACTCTGGTTACTGGAGCCATTGCACGGATGTTGAAGTCCCGCAGTAAGACTTTCCAAAACTCTGCACTTCGCAAACCTCCAGCCCAAGTTTAATCAGTGAATGCACAGGAATACTTCATGTTCCTCATCTTCTAAGGGGCACTGGAGCATTGTGATGGCTTTAATTCC